GATATCGGCTACAGGTATTTCCTAATGCCACTGTAGATAGCGTGCAGCGTTGGGAGTTCTCAGTGGCTAAGGTAGTAGAGTGTAGGGCTGTAGGGCTCGGCTTCGAAACTTCGTCCATCACTTCCTTCCAAGGTTATACTTTATGATGTATTTTATATGACCTAATCACTAGTATTTTATATAAGCAGACAACTAGTACACGATGCCTTTTACCATGGCATGCAAATTTACAGATACTAGTAAAGAATCTCACAAGAGGGGGGCGGGTGGATGACTCTCTCATAGTAAAATCGCCTCATAGATAGTCAGCTAGCGGCCCCCGTCATGGCTTCACCCGAGAATTACTGAATGGAACACCGTAGTATGTTGACACGTAATGTAAAACGTTTTCAGTTAAAAACCTTGTGGCTGACAGAACTCTTTAAGGTTATTTTCCCTGACTTGTTGTTGTAGCAATATCTGCTCTGATAGCCTCACGTCGGTGGGAAGAATTGCTATGGCCTGATCAGAAAGCTTAGCGGGGGTCTAGCTTATGCCTACTTAGGCAGCCTAGCTAGCCTAGCTAGGTCCCAGCGAGGCAAAAGTATAGAGGCAGATGGCGTGATGTAACGCGGCTTAGCTTGGCCCTACCTATGCAACCTCTCTAGAGTATTTTCTGCATACCCCAATCGAAAGTGCTTGAAGTATATATTCTGCTCTGCTCCTCAACCTCGCTCACTAGGTATGGGTAATATACTGTACTCCAAGAAATTTATTCTCAGACTAGGAGAATAAAAAATAGTACAATGTTTTACAACAATGGTAAATTTTTTTATTAAAAAAAAAAACAAATTATTTCTACAACGTAAAAAAACACAGTAAAGAAAAAATAATGTCAATTTTTATAAAAATGTGAGAATTTTTATTAAATTTTTCTGTACTTCTTTTTCTTCCTCCTTTGCAATTGCACGTGCAATTTTAAAGCACGACATCTCTTGACCCTTTCCTTAATTAATGACAACAATCGTTTCACTGTTTCACTCATTTTACCCAAAAATTTTTTAAACTATTCAATAAAAATGCAGAGAACTTTTAATATGTCAGTTAATTATCTTTCACACACTGCTCCGAAATGGCTGTCATTAACATCAATTGTATATATTGTAGGTACAGTACAAGAAAGAGTGTGATGGAAGATACCTAGCTAGGCTTCCTACCTAGTCCCTACCAATTCCACCGTAACAAAACCTACCTTGGGCCTAGAGCCCCCTCTCACTACCGAGACAGCCTAGTTAAATTTCCGTTCGGGGTAATCCCAAAATGCTGAAGCAGATTGGGCTCTGGCTAGACACATCTCCTGGTATTTCGCCAGAGACGTTAAAGCATTTAGAACACCTTCTTATTCGTGTTCGACGTAAGTCGCTTATCCATTAGATAACAGTATTGTTGATAGCCTAAATACCCAGCTGTACAACTTCCAGCTCTATGAATTACACTCTGCCAATGATCGACTGTGATATTCGATACTTTGCTCAGGCATATAATAACCAGACTTACTTAATTCTATTGCAGGTAGCTTCGATTTAACTTTTATGCCACTTAGCGGATCCTACTGAACTGAAGTGAAACGCTATCGTATTTTTACAAAACTTTGAACTTGTTTATATTATTTATATATTAAATTTTTCAAGATAAGAGCTATACTAAAATTATCTAGGAAGTATCAAGATCGAATCAGTATGCAAAATTTCAGCAAGATCGGTTGAGTAGTTTTCGCGGTTAGCGGTTACAACGGTTTTAGCGACTTTTCTGTACATATTACTACCGCCTCCCCCCCCCCCCTCCATCTTGACTTCGTCCGAGACTCACTGAATGGAACACCATAGTGTATTGACATGTAATGCAAAATGTTTTCAGTTAAAAATTTTTAATCTACACCTGACACTTCTCAGAAAAAAACTTCTTATTAAAAATATTTGAATTCATGCAATTTATTTTGTAAGACAATAAGATGTAAAAAGTGAAAAAACATAATTTTGCTGAAAAGTACCGTGTATTAGTTACGCGATTAGATAATTGTTGGCCCAAAAAGACCGTTGGTTTGTACTTTCTCAAGTAATAATGAATGGAAGGGCTATTTATTACAACCATGAAGGTTCACAACTGACAAAAACCATATAATTAAAAAAAAGTATGTATGTAGTATGTCCAGTAGTATGACAGTATTTTATCATTTTATGATATAAACTAAAAAGCTGAAATTTGTTTTAAACTTACATTTAACATAAACATAAATCCAAGTGACTTTTGAATCATTGCGATCCTTGACCGTCATACTAGTTATTTGTTTGGTTTCATCAGCGCAACAATACCAGCCAGTGTCTCCTAAAACAGTTGATGATCTTATAAATGTCTTGTTGGTGCTTCTGCCTTCTGGTATAACATTGGGTTGAGAAGTCGTCTTTTATTAATGTATAAATTAGTGGTTATCATATTATTAAAAGGTCTTTTTATACAATCTTTGTGTACATGAAATATTCAAGTCATTGAACTCACTCTACCCCCTGAATTGTTGGTGGGAAAATAAAAATTGACGTAGCCGGTGCTTATGCATGTAATGTTAAGAGTTTCTCCTTCATTTATCTGCAACTCGGTCACATTTGGATAAAGCAGAGGCTTATATCCATGGCATCGTATAAAATATAAAATCGATCTTATGATTTTTCACTTTTTTCATTTTAATTTTCTTCGTAAGTTAACTAATTAGAGCTAGTTGACTCATTTTTTTGACGGCTGTTAAATTTAATATCATGGTTTTGTCTTCGATATTTATTTGAATGAAGTTAAATATGTACGAAAAAAAAAATTTTTTATTTGACTGTACAATACAAACAATATTTCACGAGCCGAGAACCACGTTGATTCCATACAAAAACTTGAGTTGTAAATTGTCAAAGATTCAAAAAATTTTTGTATGTAAGTGTTAAATCTGCTCTGTATAACGTTTATTCAACCTCACGACCAAAATAATGCGTAAAAAGGTTTCCAGAAGTAGTTTAGTTACATTACGCTGAACCACAGCTAAGCTTTGGCCTCGTACATGTTTAGAAATTTTTGATAAGTATTCAAATTATTTATTGACCAAGGAGTTCTTCAGTTCCATCATATTTAAAATTCAATGAGTTTTCATCTCATTTATTAATAATTAAGCTATTTCTTCCATTTTGCAGTTAGAGAATAAGCAAAAATGTAAGACAGAGAACTACATTAAATTAAAAATTTTATCCCTACGCTCCTCAAATCGACACTAAAAAAAATACCCGAAAAAAATGCTGCAATACAATTAAATTATTAACTGCAGGCTCGTCGAATTCCGCATGGAACTGAGTCATAAGGAGCCTAGGACATCAAGCTATAGTATTTGAGTTGGTACTAACAAAAATATCAGAACTAGCTGCGATTACAGTACTAATTTTGAGAGTCAGTAGATCTTTCCATCCTTGAAAGCTTGACATTGCTGACTGCAGGGTGTGTCTAACTTCAAGGTCCAATGGTTAAGAATTAAAAATTTGAAGTCTGACTTTGGGTTAAGCCGTTAACAATGTAGATAAATGTAGGAAATGTCTTATAACTACTCAACATGCAGTTATGTCGTTTATTTGTGTAAAGCCTATAAACGCACCTTGTAGCCATCATAGAATCAAAGAACCATACACATAGTATGTAAAGACACTAGACGGTGACGATTGCATGTTACACACTATTCATAGCTGTATGATAGTGATTTTCTAAACGACAATTAAGATAGTTCACGCTAGAACATAGACCTAACCATCCGCTGTTTGTTCCCTGTCTTTGTCACAAGTCTACTTTTTTTTGTTGCTTCTACCAGCGCTGTTCTGTGACTAAGCTGTTACTATTATATAATTTCGATTACTTGAAACTTTAGTGATTGTCAATTTGATGGGTTGAGTAAAAATTGTCATTTGACGGCTTGAAAAATTTTATAAAGTATTTGTTTGGAGCTTTTGCATTATATACCAGATATATGACGTAAGCATGAACCTTTGTTAGTTTTACACGCAACAATAAATTGTGGTGTCTCTTTGAACGTTGCTAAAATTGTCATGGATTTAGTTAATAAAAAAAAAAAAAAAACTTAACTTGAAATATAATTGAGGATCTTTACTATCAAACTATCTGTGAAAATGATACTATGACTGAGAGTTTTATTGTAAAAGGCTGAATTTCAAAAAATTGTTAATAAATTAAGAGCAAAACTAATTCTTCGCACCACATACGTATGTTTAAAATCATCGTATGCAATATTTTTTGTTCTATCCTGTGCCACAGAAAATTATACCCACATGGATTTATTTAACTTTTGAATCATTATGTACTTTATCTCGTCACCTGTTACAGATATACTAGTGTTCAGATTACGTATATTGTCAACGCCCTCTTAGAATTTAGTTTTGCTGAAAAAATCTCTTTCATAATGAAAAATCAAATAGTTTCAAAATTAAGCATAATTGCACCATATTATGTTTGTTTTATTAAACTACAACTAAGCAACTACTTTCTTCGGGACTTATGCACTTGCTCTTGAAATTCTTATAGAAAACTGATTAAACGTTTGCATAATGAGTAACAGTGATGGTGCAATCCATATTTATATACGGCAGACTTGCAATTTAAGGCAATGCATAAACGTAGTTACGCTGGTTGAGCAAAATTGACAAATCTTCAGACAATGATGCTGTTGCTTGATTGTCATCTTATCTTTCTGACTGGCTTTCTTTATCAAAATTTTCGTATTCATGATAAATTCTTAGAAAATGAGTTTTGATATCATTTTGTAAAAGTTTTCCAATCCTTTCAACCAGCATTATAAAAGACGGTCTCGATGTTGGCTCTTCCTCCCAGCAATGAAGCATAATATTGTATCTAAAAAAAAATAAAGTAAACGAATTAAGTACTTAACGGCTTTTCAAATACGAACTTATTATGAAAAATTTCAATTACATGTCATCGGTGGCATAAGTAGGCTGAGCCATTCTGTATCCCCTAATTATTTTCTGATACATCACCTCGAACCCTACACCTAAATAAGGTATTTCTGCAAGAGAGAAAAATTCCCAGAGTACTACACCGAATGACCACACATCCGACATTGTAGAAAAGACTCCGTCTCTGATGGACTCAATGGCCATCCACCTTATGGGTAACTTCCCATCGCATTGCTTCTTATAGTTTTCGTCTTTGTACAATGTCTTGGCTAAACCGAAATCGCAGATCTTGACGATGTTGTTCTCTGCTAACAGTATATTTCTTGCAGCCAAGTCACAGTGCAGCACCTGCAAAAAGAATTAGAATCATAAAACCACAGTTAGTTATAAATACGTAACCATAAAATTTTTATATGTATGCACATGATAAGTGCTTGCCTTTCTTTCTGAAAGAAACTTCATGCCGTTTGCCACTTGATAAGCCCATAACATAAGATCCTCAGTGCAGATGAACAAAAAATCTTCTTCTATGTAATCACCTTCATAATTAGAACGCCAGCCTGGCTCAGAGTCATATTTATCAAATCATCACTGGATTCAATTGAGCCGCTAGAATTCTGAATTTCTGAATAGTGAATGGTGTGATTATCGTTTAGACTGCTGTCAGACAAGGCCGTAGTTAAATTTTCATAGATCTCGTGTCTTGTTCTATAGGCCAAAAAAATTTGTTTCGTTCGTGACATTTACAATTAATAGGTTACCATAACAGGTTTTGTGTTTTGTTGGATGTATCTAATAAGTTCCAGAACTAACTACATGGTTAACAACCTATCAAATTTTATCCTTTCTTGGACACAGGGTGAACATTACTAATTGTTAGAAATAATAAAGTATTTCATATTTTTGAATTTTGAATGCCACGTTGCAAAGTGTATGTAGTGAGTCATTTTCTCGAGATATTTTAAAAAAAAAAAAGGGAAAATTTTTTTCAGCTCCTTATTTTTTGTCACTGATACGCGTTAATTTTTAAGGACGAACATTTCTACTGAATATCCTCCCTAGCCTTCTCTAATACCTCTGGAGACTCTTATCAAGAGTAATAAGATAATTTATTTTCGACTGTATAACAAGTACTCTGTATATGCAAAGAACGTTAAAATGTACTTCGGCTAGGTGTACATAAATATCTATGTAGGTATGGGTGGTCGACTGCATTTGGACTTTGGCTGCCTAGGCTACACTTGGCTGTACTTGGGTTTCGTTAATATTACTGTTATACTTTTTATTATTATATGTAGACAAGGGAGCTACCTCAAAAAACTTTTGTGATCTCCTGTTAGAAGGTGTCCAAATGAATCGCTCTGTAACTTAGGCTGTGGGCACATGAAACCCTGTAAATCGTAAAGCGTATCGCGTATCGCGTAAAGTAAAAAAGATTAGATATAGGCCAGTTTGTGGTCACAAAAAGGCATGAAAGCCTCTGGTATCGCGTAAAGTAGGAGGAAGTCGACCAATCTATCTTATCAATGCTATCTTTTCAACAAAACGAGTTCCCCATTGCAAGTAAATTCTCAGCCTAATAAAAGTTTTTGTTAATGCCCACATACTCTTTTTTTTCATTTTATTTGCCGTAAATACATTTTATACAGATAAGCCGTAACACTTCTTACTTTTTCTTTGCGATATTGGGTCATCGCATATGTCGTATAGAATTTCTATAATTTTTTAAAAGTCTAAGGATATGTTTTTTATTTAATTTCAAAAATCTAATTAATTATGGAATTGACGCTTCGATTGTTATTGTTGACATTAGCTACTGACTGTATTCATAGGTTGAGTACTTCGTTTACGTTTTACGTAAAAAAATTCGTCATCTTGCACATGAGTAAAAAAATACGCACGTAACTTTATTATTGCCATAAGTGTGAGTGAGAGAGTATGTGTCTTGCCAACCAAATACCAGCTGTGATTGGTTTAATAACACTTACGCGCGTATTTTTTACTCACACATACACGATGACGATTTTTTTTTCAGAAAGCTTACCTTACCTAACTTTCCCTGATCCTGTAATTTTATGCGATAAGCAATACGTTTTACGCGATTCTATGTACGTGCTTCAACCCTAAGGAACTAATACGGTCACGTTTTATTAAAATGAAAGATAAGTTTTGTCACTAAAACACACCGTAGCTCAAATATTTTATAAAGAAGTTGAAGCTGTCAAATTCTTACCTCTTTAAATTTTTTCTCATAGAAGTATCGATTTGACCTGTACTTGGATCAATTTGGTTAATAAAATTTTTTCTATGACGCACGAGATAGCTTTCAAGATTTCCACATCTACAAAGCACAATAATTACCAAAAGTTCACCTACAACGTAATTTTATTTTTATTCAATAAATTCTTTTACATGAATATTTCGAACAGTTATTCGTAAGTTATAACGTTTGGCTATATTTTTGGTGCAAGCGCCCAGAAGATTTACAACATTTGAGTGTTGTCCTAAATAAACCATTGTTTTCAGCTCCTTTGCCAGCGCACTGATATACATTAAATCTGCATTTCTGCGAACTGTTTTCACAGCCACAGTTGTGATGGACTCATAAGGCAAAATCCTATAGGCCTCTGCTTTATACACAACTCCAAAAGCCCCGCTTCCTAATTGCTTATCTATAATTGAATAAATAGGTTGTTTACATTATGATAGATTACTTAAATGGTTATTTTCATAGTCTTTAAGTGGCAGTAGGAAGAATTTATAATTTTTTACCTAATCTTAACTTCTCAATAGGAAACTCCCACCTAATATCGTAAGGAAGAAGTTCTGCCTGCTCGTCTATGGTTAACTCTGGGTTTATTAAATCAACTGCTCCTTCTTTAAAATGCGTATGGCCAGCTTCTACTAGTTGTTTTTCTTTAAACTTAAAATTATTGTTTATTCGATAATAAAAATATTTTATATCGGCAAGTTTCATTCTTAAGAAACATCTAAAATTTTCTAGTTACCTTCGCATGTTGAGTTT